CATATTTCTTCCCTATCAAATGATATCATGTGAGTTTAATGGGAATGGTTGCACATTTTATCCTATTGGAAAAGATTTACATAATTTCAGTCGTCATATTTATTCTGTAGGCCATCCTCTTGTTTGAATGTGATAGTTTGAACCGGTTGAATTACTCAGTCAATAATATACAGTAGCATTCGATATTTTCGTGTTATTTGAGTTGTTTAGGTTTGATTTTTGAAAGTTATATCATGCCTAATTTTATGCTTAAGATATTTTTTATTGTAGGTGTCTTTTCAGTTTTTTAAATCATCTATTTTAATTTATTCCGTAATAAGATTCTAATATAATCCTATGGATCAATCTTGTTGTTTTAATTTCCAAATGTTTCATTTGGTTAGTGAAGATTTTGTATCGTGTTTTTGCGAAAAAACTTGCTAGTTCATAATTTTTCTGTTATTTCCTTCTTATTGCAGCAAAACGTACCGTCTTTAAATTTTGGAAACGACAGTACCGATTTTGCCCGGCCTCCTCAAAATTCCCGTAATTATTATGTTCTCGTATTATATACTTATTATAAACGATAAAGGATATAACTTTTAAGTGTGCAAAAGCTTTCCGTCCGATCTTCTTTTACTATCCAAATAAAAGATTCAAAAGTTTTGAAATATGTTGCTGCTAAATCAAGAGTTTATCAACGCATGGAGAGATTGGTGAATCTACAAGAAAAACGAGAATTCTATTTTGTGACATTAGTTTCCCTTCTCATCTGCTACACGTTCAAATATCATTGTAAGAAATTTGCTAGTCGATACAAATGGGTAATGTGCAATTTTTCCGGAATTCTATAGAAGTGATGAAAACATAATTGGATGAAGGGAATGCAGCAACTTCTTCCATCATTTCCAAAAGTCCATCATATCATGGAATGAATGATATCGTTGAATTCAAATCTTTAACTCGAAAGAGGACAACGTTTTCATCTTACACTCAGTTAAGGAATATTTCTGTAAAATATGATGAAATAATGGTTTAATGGTTCAAAATTTTTGGATGATAATGGAAGAATTAAAAAATTTCCAAAGTAATTTGATACAATTCGGAATAAACCTTCATACCATCATCAATGAACAATGTTCTCTTTTGAGCCATCCACTATTCTCGATAGCCATTTGTCATACATTTATTATTAGCTATAATCGATAATCAATGAATGTGAAGCAAACTTAGCATGAACAGATGAACTCTCATTGATGACCCCTTCGGAATAAATTAATTCCTTGCATTTCTAGCTGTCTAACAACATACAATTTTCATTTCTATCGATTGCTGGTACTTGTGATACGATGATTTTTGGTCTGACTGAGTTGCTGATTTCCATCACGGTTCTATTTTTATATAATAATTTATTTGGATGCTATTGATTGATTGTGATTCAATTTAATTGTATAATTATAATTGGAGAATTTAACTGTTACAAATTTATTTATTTCGGATATTTTAGAGCTATATGATGAAATCTTTACAATTATTGATATATTTTCAAAAAGTGTACAATTCATCATTTACACATATAACAGCAAGTTTAGCGATCATATTGTTATTTTTTTTTCAGGATTTATCGTACAGCCAAAATATCAGCCGTTGATCAGCCGTTATTAGTCAATATATGGCAGCTTTATTGGAACAATGGGTAAATGATGAATTGTACACGTTGGTGGGTTGCAGTGATCGTACCGCCGTGCAATATATTTTAGCATTGGCACGAAAATCAACAGATGCTGAGGATTTGCTAGAGCGATTGCGAAGTACGGATACAATGGAAGATACACCAGCGGTGAGGAAATTTACCAGTGAATTGATTGCACGGGTACCACATGCAGGTTAGTCTGTTCTGGAACTGTCTTTATTAGCATGTTCATCTGTTATCTCTCGATTCATTAAGATTACCTATCTTAAATCAAGATTCAGTGACAGGATGTTTTGTAAAGAAGCAATGAGTTAGGTGATTAATTCATTTATAAATGTTGGAAAATAAAAATGCAAAATATATCACTGAATAATGGTGATAGTCAAAATTTGACCGTACTTTTTAGCTGCCAAAATAGAAAAAGTAATACAACCATCAGAAGCTGAACTACGTGCAAAAGAAATCATGCGTCTAAATCGAGGTTTAAAGACAATTGAATCCGATGATGAAGATGTACCGTATAAAAAGCGTAAAGAGATAAGAGTAGTTTAATTTTATTGATCATTTATATAAACACTCGTAGTAAGATAGTTATCATAAAATGTTCTTGGGAAATCTCTGATCTTTGGACTCATCATAAGTCGACATCATTATGCAAAACGCGCTGTTTTACGATTTCTGTATTTTTGGGAATTCAGTAAATTTTGCAACCGGGAACTTTTTTGATTTTGTTTATGAGTTTATAAGATTAGTTTTATGAAATTTTTGTCTTCGAATTTCTGTTTTATGGAAGGATGGTAATTTATTTTCACTGTTGCAGAATAGAAAAATCAAAAACAAACTTTTGGTAAAAGAAAGTGCAAGTGATGAAATGGATCGGATAAAAGCTGAGGAGGAACAAGATTTGCGAGAACGTGATGAACTGGCGGCAAGAATAAGACAAAGAGACAAAGAAAAAACTCGAAATATAGTGACAAAGTCGGATAAAAAGGCTGAGGAAGAAGCTGCAAAGAGGTTATTCTTTTAAAAAATTAGCTGTTAAAGTCTTTGAAGTTTTTAATTTTTAAATTGAAAGAAAAATTATTTAGGCTAAAGTTGGAAACAAAAGATCGTACTACGATCGTTTCACAATTGCGTGAAGAAAGTCGGAAGCAATATCTGTCAAAGAGGAAGGATGACAAACTTGATGAACTTGAAAAGATTGTTGAGGATGATGAACACTTTTTTGCGAATGAACAGTATGTTTGTTTTTGTCAATTTTATTAAAGAAAATTTATTCCACTTTAGCTAATTGCTAGTGTTATATTTTGGAGGATTCTCTTTTGGTAAACAAAATAAACATATTTGCAAAAACGAAGGTGCATACTTTGTACATGAAGAAAATTGTACAGCTAATATAAAAATTTGATTAAATCCAATGCAAAATTGATTTCAGGTTGACGGATCGGGAGAAATCAGATATGAAATATCGAAAAGATATACTAGAATATGCGCGACAACATGAACGTGCAGCGGATTTTCTTAAAATCAAACGTTACCATGTCCCTGATGCTAAAGTAAAATCAGTACCGATAGATAGTTTAGAAGATGCGGATGAAATTCCAAAGGGTGATGGGAAACGTTGGGAAGATGATCGGTTGGCGGCAGCTATCTCCAAGTATGGTGCCAGAGATAAGGTTTCTTATGTTTCTAAATCCTTCATTTACATTGGTCTTTATAATTTACATATGTCGTTAACTGCAACCAGTTTCAGAAACGGGATGTATTTGAAATGGTACTAGATGATGAAAAAATTGATTTCATCCAAGCTTTTCAAATGCCTGGCACATCGAACACCGAGGTTTGTTTTAGTCTTTTTTTTGATCACATTTCAGTCACTTTCATCTAGAGATAAAGTTTTTACGAGACTTTAGTTTTATTATTTAATGTTGGAAATGAAAAAATGAAAAAAAAACAGATAGTCGTTTATTGGATGTAACTGGTAATTGCTTTGCAGGAAAAAACATTTTCGGCTGCCCAGAAAAAGAAAATAACGTTAGCTGAAACAAGGAAATCACTCCCAGTTTATACATATCGAGATGAGTTCGTACAAGCAGTTCACGATCATCAAGTGCTTATCATCGAGGGTGAGACGGGTTCTGGAAAAACCACTCAACTTCCACAGTATTTATATGAAGCGGTTTGTTTGCTTTTTTTTTAAATGATTGAAGAACATAAATCTAAAATATTTCTGGCGCATTTTAACTTATTATCCTTGTAGAGATTCATGTGCATTGTGGACCATTGTTATATAGAAAATGATGCGGTTTAGGTGTTCATAAAAACTTCTCCACTGTTCATAAACATTGTTTATGTGATATGTGTCTGAGATGAGTAGAGGCATTTAAGATTAAAAAAATGATTTGCTGCTAAAAATGCTCATTGTTCAAAGATTGTTTCGAGATTTTAATGACAGTTATGTTGAGGGGTTTTGTGTGAACAAAATGAAAGTTGGGTGTACGCAACCTCGTCGAGTGGCAGCCATGAGTGTAGCTACTCGAGTAGCGGAAGAGATGGGTGTGAAGTTGGGAATTGAGGTATCCATTCATTTTTTTCTCGTTTTAACTAATAAATGTTTTTTTCAACTTTTGTAAAATAAAGGATTAGATTTATTTGTTCTCCATTTTTCACTCATGAAATCTTGATTATCTTTTTGTTGAGGTTGGTTATTCAATACGTTTCGAAGACTGTACATCGGAAAGAACAGTCATAAAGTATATGACTGATGGTATGCTGCTACGAGAGTTTCTGAATGAACCAGATTTAGCCAGTTATAGGTTTGTTAGACATTTTGCTAAACAAATTTATGTTTGTTAAAGTCAAGAATTCTTGTTCGCAGAAGACGAAATACTCTAAGTGCTTTTATAAAACTTGTTATTTTCACAAAAATTTATTCCTGGAGGATTTTCAGTGTTATTATCATCGATGAAGCTCACGAACGAACACTGCATACGGATGTTTTATTCGGTTTAGTGAAGGACATAGCACGGTTTCGTAAAGATCTCAAACTTTTGATTTCTTCTGCAACTCTTGATATTGAAAAATTCTCCACATTTTTTGATGATGCTCCGATACTCAGGATACCTGGCCAGTTAACAAACTTATATTTTTCGGAATTAATTTATGCATTTAATGAATTCGATTAGCATCGGCTCTGTTTTGTTTGTATGCAGCTTCATATTTGTGTGGAGAATTTGTATTATGTTGAGCTAATGACATTTTAGGCAGACGTTTCCCAGTGGATATTTATTACACAAAAGCTCCTGAAGCCGATTATCTTGATGCAGCAATGGTCTCGATTTTACAAATTCACTTAACACAGCCACTTCCTGGAGATATTCTCGTTTTCTTAACCGGACAAGACGAAATTGAAACACTGATGGTAAGTTTGATCTTGGGGAGAAATTCTAATTTGGTTTACATTTGGTTGATTAGCCTAATAAATTTAATGTAAATTTTTCGTCATCATTTATTGTTTAATGCTTTGAACCTTGCATGCCTTTTTGCTTACAAACGAAGCAGATAAAGCTCAGCTGCTCTGCAAAAGTCTTAATGCTATACTTTTTGAAATCTCTGACAAATTTGAACTAAGGATTTATAGAAGCGTGTTCTTCCAGGAATCTTTATTAGAGAGAACAAAGTACTTTGGGAAAAAAATTAAAGAACTTATTGTTTTGCCCATTTATGCGAATCTGCCTTCCGATTTGCAAGCCAAAATTTTCGAGCCAACTCCACCAAATGCTCGAAAGGTATGTTCTTTTTTGACAAATTTTATAACCATATAAAAAAGTTCTGTTTATGAATTCTATTCTTTTTAAATCTTAAAATTTAAGGTTGTTTTGGCTACTAATATAGCTGAGACCTCCATCACTATTGATGGAATCTGTTATGTGATCGATCCTGGGTTTAGTAAACAGAATTCTTTTGATGCTAGGAGTGGTGTCGAGCATTTACATGTTGTCACCATTTCAAAGGTTTGTCGACTTTTAGATGTATGCTGATTTTTGGTTTTCCAATTTTTAGTATTTGATTTTTTATGGAAAGATTCCTCCATTCATACTGTTTTAAAAACTTGCTATAAATGTTTCTAAAGAAGGATAATGTTTTAGGCTGCTGCTAATCAGCGTGCTGGAAGAGCTGGTCGGACCGGTCCCGGAAAGTGTTTCCGTTTGTATACTGCGTGGGCATACAAAAATGAATTGGAAGATCAACCCATTCCGGAAGTAATTCAACGTTCTTTTCCCCCCATTTAATTACTTTCAGTTATATAAGTTAAAAGAATCGTTTTTTTTTTCAGGATTTGATAAACTCAAAGAGCAATTCGTAATTTAGGATAAAGATATGAGAAATAATATAAGTTTTAGATCCAAAGAACGAATTTGGGCAATGTTGTGCTGATGTTAAAAAGCTTGGGCATCCATGATTTAGTTCATTTTGACTATCTGGATCCGCCCCCTCAAGAAACGCTAGTAATTGCGCTGGAACAGTTATATGCACTTGGAGCTTTGAATCATCGTGGTGAACTGACCAAATTGGGAAGGCGAATGGCTGAATTTCCATGTGACCCGTGCATGAGTAAAATGATTATCGCATCCGAAAAGTATCAGTGCATAATTTTTCAAATCTTTTAATGTGTTGACTATAGGATTTATTATTAATTACCTTGAAAGATGAATGGTATTAATGTCATTCCTTGTCTCCAAAAATACAACCAGCGGTTTTTCCAAAAATTCGTCTTTCATATTTCCGTTCCATTCATCCATTGTATAGACTTTATTCCAATCGGTCATAGTGATATTTTTCTAATTGTTTTATGAGTTATATAATGTTCCGTGGGAAATTTCTATTATTAGTGATAAATAGTAATTTGTTTCGGAAGAAAGAAGTTAAATTGTTTAAAGGTACGGATGTTCTGAAGAAATTATCACTATTGCTGGAATGTTATCATGTAACGCAGCAGTGTTTTATCGGCCTAAAGCATTAGTTATCCATGCAGATGCTGCTCGAAAAGGTTTTTGGGTACCAGGTGGAGATCATCTCACTTTGCTTAATGTTTATAATCGTTGGCGAGATACCAACTATTCGTCGCAATGGTAAGTATTGATAGATTTGTGTCTTTTTATAAACTGAATATTTCAAACCGAGCGAAGTGTTTCAAAATTAAATTTCGAAATTAAATTGAAGGTGCATGGAAAATTTTGTTCAGTATAGGACGATGAAAAAAGCTCGGGATGTTCGCGATCAGCTTGAAGGTTTATTGGAAAGGGTTGAGATAGACCAGGTTTGCTTTTAAGATTTTACGGCAAATATTTTAGCTTGAGTTCTTATTAATTTATATGTATCTTCAATCCAATTTCCACCCAAGTTTTGAAGGGATTATATAAGAGTGGAAATCCTCACTAAATCTCACTGATTGAAATTCTATAAACACTCATAAAAAACATTAATTTAAATTTCAAAATTCTCAGCTTTCTTTATATAAATTGCTTCATCAAGAGGTCATCAATGTTTGATAACGAGTAGTATTGCATCAAGTTGTTTTTTCCTTTATTATCCATATTGTACATATTACAATATAATATTTTTTTGGATTTACGATAACGGATAATTTCATTACAATTATAATTAAAAAAAACGGATGCATAGATGATGGCAATACTTGACCAGTAATTAGTTTGATTCTTAGTCAAAATAATTATTTTAAGGTTTCAAACAGCGACTCAATAGCAATTCGAAAAACAATTACCGCAGGATACTTCTACAATTGCGCCAAACTTGATAGCAGCGGACATTATAAAACTGTTAAGCACAAGCACACAGTGCATATTCATCCAAATTCCTCTTTATTTGAAGAAACTCCGCGGTGGATGATTTATTTCGAGCTTGTCTTCACATCTAAAGAATTCATGCGCGAGGCAAGTCTTGGAGTTTTTCGTGGCTTCCTAAAAATTAATTAATGTTTCGAATTGAGATTTAGCATCATTAATTTTTGCCTCACTGTGACGAAAATTAATGATCCTGAATAATTTTAATGATCCTCAATTGTCTCTATTTCTGTTTCACAAATTTAGTGATAGAATCTATAAAAAAAGAAAAGAAAGTTTTCATATGATCTCTTCCTTGATGTTAAATCTGATTATAAAATCAGCCAGATTTTAAGGTCATCGAGATTGAGAGTAGTTGGTTAACGGAAGTCGCACCACATTATTACAGAGCCAAAGAACTGGAAGACTCGACCAACCGAAAAATGCCAAAACAAAAAGGAAAAGCTGCATTTGAACTGTCATCATTGTGATCTTATATATTTTTGAAAGTTCTGAAATTTATCATGTCCACCAAAATTGCTACGAGTCGATAACACAGTACAGAGAGTCAAAATGTGTTTAATTATAATGTCAGATAGGGATGGGCTGCATAGAAATTTAAATAAAAATTTGAACATATCGCTCCCTTCGTTTTCTTGTTATTGCTTGTATTTATTGTAATTAAATTTGCATAAAATGCTTAAGTCATTTTCATAAAGATTTGTCTTTACTGATATTTTTCGTTCCAGCGGAAAGATTTTATATATTTCAAATATTTTTTCCAATTTTATATGATTTATTCATCTTTTAGGATTATTATTTTTTAAAGGTTGTTATATCTGATTTCATATGCTTATTACATAAGAACCATTTAATATTCTGAAGAAATTTGTTTTGGACATATAAATATTAAAATCGCGCTAGTAGAAGTGTCGATGGCTCGTAGGACTTATTTTTTGAAGTTTCACTTTGATCGACATAGGAATACTGAATAATTTGCCTCAGTCACTGCTTATTTTGTGTGGCGACATGCATATAAATAATATTTGTTAAATTCTCTACCTCTATACTATTAATTCTTGTAGAAAATAATGGAACAAATTATCGTTCCCGGATCTGAACAAGGGGCATTGCCGGAACCAACACCAACGTTGCAACATTTTGAAGCACCAGAAACTCCGCAGCAGAAAGCATTGTTAAATTTGGTGTTCAGGTCGATGAAACGAACACATGATCTTTTTTATCATGACTATGGAACTTTACCTGAACTAAATTCAGAAGCGTAAGTTTTATTTATAGAGATTGAAATTTGCACATAATGAGTGCAAAATTACCTCAAGCAACAAAGCAAAAGATTTCCATTTATAAATCACTATAAAACCAAAGTAACTGCAAGACAAATTTTTGAGCATTATACTCATGCTGTTAATGTATCGCTCTTTGCGAAACATTCTACCAAACTTTTCGCTGAAAAGTATTTCTTCCAGTGATGACTTATGGCGAGCCGTAAAGTTAAAATCTGAATATGGAAGTGTTATGAAAGAAGTGAGCGAAGCAAAGAGGAAGAAAGAGGAAGAACTACTGAAATTACCGATAAATCCAGCAAATGTCATAGGTAGTTCTGGTGAGAGCTCCTCAAGAACACTTGCTATTGCTGCTGGTACAACAGAAGCCATAAAGTCAGTATTTTTCGATATCAGTAATTTTTTTATTCGTGATATATACTTTCACATAGCGGAAAATTTTTTTAGCGAAAAAGACAATACCGATTTGACAGCGTCCAATCGCTCAGAAGATAGTACTATGCGTGCTATGTTGCCTGCTCGAGCTCCTATTATGATTAAACCTAAGTGGCACGCACCATGGAAATTATACAGGTATATTCATATGAATAAAGCTACTAATGGAAATGTCAATTTAAATTTCTTGACTAGATATTTTCCTTTCTCAATTTTACCTACATTATCATTTTTAGAGTAATTTCGGGGCATACAGGTTGGGTAAGGTGTGTGGATGTCGAACCTGGTAATGAATGGTTTGCAACAGGTGGTGCTGATCGAATAGTAAAGGTTTGCAACGATTTTGCTTTTACAATATCTTTTTTCACTCAAAAATATTTTTGTAAACTAATGCATGAAGTTAATTTTACAGTGGAAAGCAAAAATCGAACTGCTATTATCGAACTTTTGAACTTTTGTAACTATTATTATCTCTCTATTTTTTTATAGATTTGGGATCTCGCAAGCGGAAAATTGCGGCTATCATTAACAGGACATGTAAGCGCCGTCAGGTGCTGTAAAGTTTCACATAGACATCCTTTCCTTTTCACAGGTGGTGAAGATAAGCAGGTAAGCTAAATCTATTTGTTCTAGAGTTAATTTGATTTGCTTTTTTTTTGCTTTTGATTTGTTATTATGAATAAAAATTTTGATTTTATTGTCAGCAAATAAAAGTAATCTCATTAGATGTTTTGTCGTTTTTATGAAGAATTTTATGACTGATGAGAAAAATTGTCGTTATGTTCAGGTAAAATGTTGGGATCTCGAGTATAACAAAGTCATTCGTCATTATCATGGACATTTAAGTGCTGTTCAGGATCTTACAATTCATCCGACAATTGATATTTTAATCACGTGCGCTCGGGATGCTACTGCACGAGTAATCTTCTGGTTAAATATTTCGAGAACAGAAACTAAAATTAGATATTTAGAGTGAATACTACTCCGCATTGCAGATAATATCTTTTCATAAATAAATGACAAAGATTTCATTACAGTAGTTATTTTAGGTTTGGGATATGCGAACCAAAGCCCAGGTTCACTGTTTGAGTGGACACACAAACACGGTTGCAGCAGTTATTTCACAGGAAGTTGATCCTCAAGTTATCACAGGTAGTCATGATTCCACAATACGACTTTGGGATCTTGCTGCTGGACGAAGTATTTGCACTCTAACGCATCACAAGGTTCATTTTCCCTAAACTTTTAATCGCTAATTTAATTTAGACTGGTTGCTGGTAATAAAAAATTACTTCAATAGGATTTTTTTTTGCATCAATACAACATACCTCACAGAAGTTATGTTTTGTGTATTGTATTAGTATAGATGATCTCTTACTCAATTTTATCCACAGAAGAGATTTATTTTTGTAAAAACTCTTCACAATCAGACATATATGCTGTCTAGTGTGATATAACTTCTGTAAGCCATTCAGTTAGCAAGAAGCAGAAAAGTATATTACAATGGCCAAGATGTCAGAGATTGAAGTAGTCAATTTTATTGTATATCACTCGAATTCATACTGGTGGCGAAAGATCACTCTCTTTGATATGATGCTTTTTTTTAGAAGAGTATTCGAGCTTTAACACTGCATCCTTCGCTCTTCATGTTTGCATCTGGGAGTGCTGATAATATCAAAGAATGGAAGTGTCCAGAAGGAATATTTATCCAAAATTTGTCAGGCCATAATGCAATCATTAATTCACTTGCGTGTAATGAGGATGGTGTACTTGTTTCTGGAGGTGAGCTTTAATTTTATGAAACCGAAACAACTTTTTTTAAAATATTTCCTTCTCTGTATTTGCATTATTTGAAAAAGAATAATAAGAGGCCCTTTGTTGATCACTGTCTCATTACTGTTTTTATTTTATGTATCCTAAAGAGGATAAGTCTAAGTTTAGTGGAGCATTAATTCTAGATGATAATAATGTCCTAATTTTCAGGTGATAATGGTTCCTTGAATTTTTGGGATTGGAAGAGTGGTTTTTGTTTCCAGCGTGAACAAACGAAAGCTCAACCAGGTTCAATCGATTCAGAAGCTGGAATATTTGCTCTCACATACGACCAGTCAGGTTCCCGATTAATTACTGCAGAAGCTGATAAAACAATCAAAATGTACAAAGAAGATGAGAATGCGGTGTGTTCTATTTTATCTGCAGTTTTTATTTTTAGCATTAACTTAACGGATGCTGATTATTTCTGTTTAAGTTAAATTTTTACGTTTTGTTAATCATCGACTTTTTTGTCGTTTTAGTAAAGAATACTAAACACTAATTTATATTTGAAAGCCTTTTTTTTTACCGAAGGTGGTTTTCCGTATTGATTTAGTGATAGGTTAATTTGCAACGAAATATCAAATGCAAAATAAATTGGACAAATAAATGATGGTAGTTTTTTTTTGCTAAAATATTTATTTACAGACAGAAGAAACACATCCAATCCTATGGAGGCCAGAAATACTGCGACGAAAAGCCTATTAGCTTAAATTTTTTTCGTAATAAATTGTTGAATATTATGACTGTTTTGTTGCTTGTATTTCGTTGAATTTTTGATATTGTTGATTTGATATTCTTGTAATGCTCTATTTATAATTTTGACATTTCACGAAAAGGGACGAGTTAACAAACAGGGAAAATTTTTCTTTTTTTGCACATTTTTTAAAGTCCACCTCAGCACTGCAGTTCGAATGAAAAGTATTTCTCTTATTTTTTGATTTCTTTTCTTATTTTTGTCTCCCTTTGCTTTTTTTTGTTCCTATGGACGATATTTCATCTTCTTCTGTCTCGTGGATTAGAGTTATGAAGTATTAAAATTCTTGTTTCTGAAGTTTATAAGATTTAGCATGAAAAAATACGGTAGAAGACAGGATTAGAGATTACAGGCTAAGATATGATTGGATAAGCGTAGTTGGATGATATAATAGCATTTCATTTTTTTTTTTATATCCAAATTCATTTATATACTAAGAGTCTGGAAATTATGGATTTTCTTTTAATATCTAAGTTTTACATTTGTAAAATTTTTTGTTTTTTTTTTTATGAAAAATTGTGGAGGACAGTTTGCGTAAAGATTTAGGACAAATTTTGGTTCTGTGAAGTCAAAATTAAAAAATGAGATAGGAAATTAGCTACTGCTAAACCTTGAACTCACTTATAGTCATTTACCCCATTGCATCGGAGATTATTCATTCATATAATTGGTATATGCTCGATTTGCTGTGGAAATGCTCAAAAAGCCTGGCATACGCGTATCAAATGCATTCAAGAGTATTGAGTAGACATTGCTTCATCGTATAAAGTTGACAGTTTGGCGACTGCAGTTCATTTTTTAAATAAAACAATCGAGAAAAGGTTGACTTAGTCTCTACATCCCATGCAATCTTACAGTGGACAGAAGTGAGTGGTTCTGTGATCGTGTCAAATTTTATTAAAATTTGACAGCAGTGGATTGGCAATGGAGAAATTACGGTTCGCACATATTTAAACAACAAACTATCTTTTGGAGAAATGTATTAAATGGCAAAGCATTCATTGCTATCCGTTTTAAACCTAAATAAACATAGCATTCATCCTCTAATCGTCGAGTATAATTCAAGTTTTTTTTTTTTTTGAGTTATCTTAGATAATAACCAGTCGATTCGTACTAAACATTTAATTATAAATCCACAAAATTAGCATAGGACTTCTTGCGATACAATATGTTGTGATGTAATGTAATTTCTTTCATTTTTTTGAATTCAAAAAAGAAATTTAATGATATTATTTGTTCAAATAAGATTAAAAAAGAATTGATCTTAAAATTAGGAAATTACTATTAAATAAAATGTGTGTGTATTTTTCAAAATTTTCAAATCCTATGAGATAACCTATAAAGAAGAAAATTAAGTACTCATTTTTTCATTTTGAATTTAAATTCAAAGTCAATTTTAAACTCTTGTTCCAAATTTGATCATAAATATAATTTATTACAGTAATATTGTATTTGCAGGAAACGTGAGTTACCATCAGCAAGTCTAAATGGATTATATTTAGCTTATGCAATTTCTTGCATTGTTAGTTTCAAATTTTGCATGAGAAAAAAAAATTTGTTCTAACAAAATTTATTTATTAAAATATTGAAATCATTTAATTCAAAAAACTGTGAAACTCACACTTCTTAACTATTTAATTGCAGGAAATTTCAATTAATGATAAAGTAGAATTGAAACGGCAAATTTTAAGTGATAAGTTGAAAAATTAAAAATAAAGTAATAAAATATGATTTGATCAATTTTCATTATAGGGTGATCGATTATGGACTTTTGCGCTAGTATTAATATTAGAATATATTGGTGGTATTCGATTGGTATGTTTTAGTCAGTTACTCGAAGAAATGATTATTATGGCATTTGGTTCGATAATTGGAAATTGGATGGATCATCACACTAGAAAACGTGGTAATTAATAATGGTATTAGTTACAAATAATTAAAGTTTAAAGTTTTTATTTTGGTTTTTATTTTGTTCTTATTTGTCTGTCAATAAAATTCTTATCAGGAAAAATTTTAATTCATTTACAAAGAATATTTATTATCATCAACTTTTTAATTAGATATTGTTACTATTAATTTATAGTAATTATTACTTTCGTAGGTAATTTTCAGGTATAATGACAGTATTGGTTATAAATAATGCTAATGTAGCAATATCAGCAGCACTGCTTGCCGTATGTATTACAATTAGCGACATGAATGATAATCGTGATGTATGTGATTATTTGATATCATTTATCGGTTATCATTATTATAATTTTCTTTATCACTGTTCTTGTTATTGCCATTATTATTATTATTATCATTACCATTATTTTTGTCATTATCATTATTATTCTTATTGCTATGACTATTATCATTGTTATTGTTATTGTCATTATTACCATTAGCATTTATTACTAAACATTAGTTTCATCGGTATTTATTGCGATGGATTGTCCATAATAATATTTCTATCATTATGGATATTACTTATCTCTTCCTTCTTGCCATATTTTTTCGCTTCCTTCCATAATATCACAGTTAAATCATATTTATCTATTTTATAATTAAATTAAATATAGTTGAATTGGGTCAAATTCAAATAGTTGAATTGTAGATATTTCGGTTTTAATCTAATACGTGTACTTTTTAACTGATATATTTAATACAAATTTTATATTGCATTCACACTTATGAAATATAAATACAACGCTTTTAATTTTAAACGAAAAAATTTTTTAGTCGCATTCTTTATTATGGCATATTCTTTATGTCATTTGTATTATTTTTTCAATGATTACCTGTTCGCTTGGTTGTTTAGCAAGTGAAATGGAAAAGATGGCATTTACTAAAGATTGGATTATTGTAATAACTAAAAAAGATGAATCATCATTATCTGGTACAACTTTATCAATCATTATGCATAATTTAATCATTAATTAAATTGAAATTATGATTTAAGAAATTGATAAATTCAAGAAGTGAATAAATATTTGACAAAAAAAAAGAGAGGAACAAATGTATGATAATAATTGTAACAGCTTCTATCAAACATATCTAATCAAATTTTGTTCAATTATTTTGTCCATTTCAGCTGCAAATGCATGGATGAAAGCGATCGATTTGTCATCATCGGTAATTTCACCCTTTACAGCTGGTTATATTATCAATTCGATCAGTTATCGCTTTGCATGTATGATATTTGTAATATGGAATTTGATATCAGTATTTATGGAGGCATATATTATTATCAAAGTATACAATACTGTACCAGAGCTTGCTACACGCGAATTATCATTCTCACCTGGTAAATTCTTTTACTGTTGATTATTTTAAAAAAAAAGACAAAACATCGGATCGTTAGATAATATCACATATTAACCGTATGAATTTTGAAATTGAACTTTTTTTTTATAAATTGTTGATTTGAAAATTTCAGCAACCTGTAAGGGGAGAGATGGATTAATTAATATTGATTAATTGAATTTAATATGATTTTAACATGCATTCTTATGATCTGAAGTTAGACGTAGCTGAATGGAGTTCAGTTATAAGCAATATTATGCTCATATTAGCAAGTTTGAAATAGAAATTATTTCTAGTAAATATTTATGATTGCAAAAGAAATTGCATATAGTTAATAAAATGTTCCAAAATTTGCAAAATATTAAAGTCGAAATCGAAATTAATTTTGAAATTAAGCATAAAATTGAAAATGAATTGAAAATACACAATTATATATTTACATTCAAATAAAAAAAGGAGCAAAGTATTGAAAATTATCAGTTAAAAATTATTGGTTATTACGAATTAATAGTATGATGTGGTGAATAAAAGAACAGAAAAAAGAAATATTTGATTAATATTTGACCCAACATAATGAGTTTTCGCATTTTTTGATTTAGCTTTTTAATTTACTTTTAAATTTCCAAGCTAAAATATTCATTTTAAATTTTTTATCAAATATGACATCCCCGAACATTTTCTTTTCCATAATTTTTCCAGCTTATTAACAATTTATTGGTCAATTAATGAAGAGAGAATTTCTCTTTCTAAAAAATAACGCAAATAACACTTATTTGATGTGTAATCATTATTGCAAATAATTTGATAAATAAATTTAAATCGTTTAGATGAACAAACAAAAGTTGAATGTTGTGAGAAATGTCCTTATTTCATACGACGTACAATTGGCAAATGGCTTACATTATTTTACATTTACTATCAGCAAAATGTTTTTCCAGCAGCATTTGGTCTAACTTTATTGTACATGACTGTACTTGGCTTTGATGGAGTATTCTTTGTTTTTGTTTTTTCAAAAAAATTTTAATGATAAAAAAAATATCCAAAAAATTCTCAAAAATTTCTAACGTTTATCATAGTCGGAGTAAAATTCTGCAAAATTCATAAACCTGAATTCATAATTCCCTAAAAACATATTATGACATTCTTTTTTTTTTTATAATTTTTTCTTCACTGCCAGATAATTAAGGAATTATTTTAATATTTTTGGAAAATTTTTAAATTTGAAAATGCAAGAAAAGGAAGTTGAAATTTCACTCGAAAGTATAAAATGATATAATTCCATTTTATTATGACATTCTTTGTTTTTTTTAGTAAATCATTTCTTTCTATTTAGATAGCTATCGGTTATGCGAAATCACAAGGTTTATCAGCGTTATGGTTAGGCATATTGAGAAGTTTTGGTGCTGCTTTTGGTATTATTGGTGCATATTTGTATTCTCTTATCGAAACACATTCTTCGGCAAGGAAATCCGGATTCATTGGCTTGACTGTATGTTTTTAGGGAATTATGAATTCCAGTTATGAATTTTGCAGAATTTTACTCCGACTATGATAAACGTTAGAAATTTTTGAGAATTTTTTTTTTTACCAATTATGACAAGCGTACAAAATTTTCAGTTATAATAAGTTTTACAGTTATTAGCGTATGGGATTTTTGAAATTTATTTAAAAACTTGCAATGAGTGTTCCCTATGAAATTTTAGTTCACTAAAATACACCAATAAAAGAATTATTGACCATACTAATGGATAAAAAAAGAAAATGAAAAATTAAATCTAAATAATTTCGAAATTTGATCAAAACACAATTGAAAAAATTAAACTTATTATGTGCACACCTGATTACAATTATGATTTGAGGGGTTTTTTTTTGTCAAATTTTACTATTCTAACATAATTTTCTTGCTTAAGGCACAACATCTGGCTCTATATATTTGTATTGTATCTATTTGGCTACCTGGTTCACCATTTGATCCAATAACATATTTTAGAGAAATTACTTTTGCTGTATGTTTGTGCTTAATCGGTCAACGAATACATAATAGTTGAATTTAAAAGAAGCAAATCCACCATTATTATCTTTTCCGAATTGTATTAAGTTTTTACAATTTTACCTTTTTTGCAGATAATTAACTCTCTTCATATATTATCTTCTTTTCGCAACAAAAATCAATTGTAACTTTCTCACCAGGCTTTTGAAATTTATTCCTATTTCATATCAAAGATCCATAACTGTTGTAGACTTGGTGGCAACAATTACAAGATAGTTTCACATTTGTCGCTAATAAGAATCAAAGTGAAACGGGATCAACTGATATTGATTGGTCAACATGGACATCAAATGGACATTCTATCATTAGTACTTTCACACTGCTAATGGGTATAGCGGTAGCAAGATTAGGTATTATATAAAGATAAAAATGAATTTAATTCTAATCATTAAACTTAACTATAGAACTTGTTTCTAACAACATCTCCATGATCAACAAACGATAAAACAAACAGCAATTGAACATAGCTAATATAAATAAGCTTTTCTTTTTTCTTTTTTTGCTGCAAAATGTTTACCTCCTCTACTCGTCGCCAAATAACAAAATGTAACATTGATTTCTAATATAGGCTTAAATTTAGATTTCAAAACACTCATTTGTAAAAATGAAAAAAATTGGAAAAAATTCATGCAGTCAATTTTTAGGCTTATATATGGCAGATTTATCAATTTCACAAATTATGCAAGAAACAGTACCAGAAAGAGAACGAAATACCGTTTTCGGTGTACAAGATTCGATAGCACAATTCTTTAGTGTATTCAAAGTAATTATATGCTTTTTTCCAGAAATAAAAAACAAACATAATAGTCAGATAATCGAATGTTACTAAATTTTTCAAATTACTCAAAGTACTCAAATTATATGTAATGAATAAAATTATTTCAAGCATTAGAAAGGCTTCGTCCGTAATTCTAACAAACGGTATTCTAAAATGAATTAATTAGGAATGCAATCTGCAGAAGACAATTGCAATTAAGCAATACATGATTTAATATCTTCCTTCCTTCTTTTCTATGAATATAGGAATTTATAGTAAGTTAGCACTTTTTCCATTCCATCCCAGCTGATCTATCAAAATATTTGTCATCCGTTTATTCCTTTTTTTAGGATGTTCTAACTATAATAGTGCCGGATCCAAGGACATTTGGCATACTTATCATTACATCTAAATTATTTGTATTCAGTGGATTCTTATGCTTTTGCTACTATCTATTTACAGTAAATTTTGGTCTAAAATTTCGAATAAATAGAAAAAATTATCATTTCGTTGGAGAAGAAAATAATAAGAAAGCATATATTATGAATTTTACTAGTGCAATAATACCTGCACACAAGTTTATAAATGATAACAGTTAATTGGTAAAGTTTTTCCGGAGCGTCCATATTGAAATGACTTAAAAATGAAGCTTTTTCTAATTTGACATTAATAATATTAAAGTCATAAAAATTTTCAACCTTTTCTAACTAATAGAAAGATAATGGTAAATATAAGTGAATGGCAAATGAGAATGATTCTTGGCACATAAAAGGAAGTATGATTTTATGTATAGTTAATTGTTTGCAAACTCTTTAAGAAAGAAAAGTAAACATCACATTTTATTTATAAACAATTTCAGGTTGCTGATAATAAAAAAGAAAAAACCAAACTAAGTAACACTGACACACAAGACAATCATATTAAAAAATCTGGATCTACATCGATGAATGAGATTACCAAAGAAAATGTTTCTCGTTTCTTGGATATGACACCAGCATCCGGCAGAGATAGGAAAAATTCCCCGACTAGTTTACGACCAACAAATTGATTGTTTGTGATACAGGTATTAAATTAACAAAAAAGAAGATCAGGACGGAAATATTCCATAAAGAATGCTTACAAAACTTCCTAACTAGTTTTCGTATGAAGTGATCCTATTATCACTAGACAGAAACTTTCATAACAGAAAAAATACTTTTCTGTGATAGTACTAGTAATAAGATTTACTTTTCTTACATTTTATTTTTTGTAACTTAGAATACTAGGTATAATTTCATTTTGTGGATATTTCACAAGAACAAAATGAAAAATACTATCAAAAGATTGAAATTTCTATCAAATATGAAATGTCAGCAATAATATATCATCAAAAGTTATCAACAGTATCAACTGCACTTATTTACTTCAACGTAATAGAAATAATGTTTATTTCTTGTTTCGGCCTGCCACTTTTCTCAAAAGTCGGCACCTGATTAATTTTTTGCACCACATTGAAACCTTCCGTAACCTGGAAAGCAAAAAATAATGGATAATTAGACCAGTACTTAGTTTTAGTCCCGATTAATGAATGCGGAAGGTATTAGCTATTTGCAAATCGCCAACTGAGAAATTTTTATAGATTTCAGCGACTTCCGTAAATTGGCATTTTTATGTTAATGATAACCGTAATAGAATGGCGTCATTTATAATATAATAATAAAAATGTAACAAAACAAAATCAATATTTGGATCAATAATTTAACTCGCTGGATCTTTAGAATTTGTTTCAAGAAATTAAAACATCATGAAATACTGAAAATTTTAATGCCAATATAAAATTGCAAATAAAGATACAAACCTGTCCGAAAAGAGTATTCTTACCATCCAACCAATCAGCAGGAATAACTGTGATGAAAAACTGAGACCCATTGGTATTTGGGCCAGCATTTGCCATTGAAACCATATAAGGTTTATCATGTCTAAGTTTAGGATGAAATTCGTCTTCAAAATCTTCACCCCAAATCGACTGACCACCAGTTCCTTTACCAGTGGGATCACCAGCCTAAAAATATCTTCAGTGAGAAAATATATTTACACTGAATCAATAAAAATTAGGGAGAAAAAGTAAAAAAAAAAATGAAGCGAACAATAGGAAAAATTTCATAACTATATGGACAATTAAAGTAATAAACATTCCAGTTTTTTGTTTGCCATGTTTGCAAAAAATGCGATACTTTTAAGGTATCGCATTTTTTGTAGACTTGACTTTAAAAAAATTCAATAACTCAAACTATAAAATATCACTCCTTATCAGAAGTGACACTATTAATAACAACCAAACAGATTCCTTTCAACTTCTTTAATTTCATCACTAACAAAATTACATGAATCAAAAATTCCAAAAACTACCTGAATCATGAAACTTTTAATTACGCGATGGAATGTATGACCATTGTAGTAACCCCTCCTCGCGTGTGTGCAAAAATTTTCAACAGTTTTCGGACATTCATTGGGAAATAATTTTATATGTATGTCACCGAATGACGTATGTATTACTGCATGTTCCGTCATTTTATTATCAGTTGTATCACTCTGCAACTTAGGAATTTTAAAAATTCTATCTGAAAATAAACTTCTGAAGAGAAGAAAAACAAACGAATTCAATAAATATCTTAATCTAATTAAAAACCAAAAGTACCTCTACAGCTGTTATAACATCCTCCTTCCTAGGCTTTTCATTGAAGACATCTCGTCCCATACCACTACCATCTACATCATTTTCATCCGTTGAAAAAGGCTCTGTATTGGTAAACAAATAGAATCTACTTTTCCGGTACGCAAAAGCAACCTAAATGAAGAATTCAAATAAAACATTCACTACATGAGATATGATATTATAAACAAACCGAAAAAATCTTACCAACATAGGATCAGGTTCGGTTTTCGTCAGATTTGGATTTGCAGCAGCCATTGCATCAATTGTTGCTGCTGCTCCCTACAGTAAAAAAATACTTTACAAATTCAAAGATTTCATATTTACATATATATGCTAAATTAGTGCAACTTTTATTGTATCAACAGAAATTTTTCAAAATTAACACAATATAAAAAAAATTATTCAAAGAATCAATGAAAAAATTTTTCTCAAGAACGACTTAACCATAATTTCGAAACAAAAATGACTGGTTCAATAAAAAATTTAATAACCTGTAACTGTTCCTTGAAATCTGGTACAGCACGACAAAGTGAGACACCCAAAAATCGCATATTCTCATTTTTACCAATTTCACGAACTATTTCATCAGTATATAAATTGTAAACCTAGTAGAATAGAACTTATTACGTGAATTCTTTATGTAGTTTCCTTTGTATTATTTCCTTTATATTGATAGCAGCATGATTATTTTTTTATTTATTAAAAGGAATAAAGGACAAAAATCAGAAAAGATGTACCGAAAGGCTTACTTTGATACCAATCGGTGTGGGATAGATAAGAAAATTACTGGTTTCATCAAAACAAATCGATAAATGTTGGAAAGTATTTTCATCACGATCCAGTTCTTTTTCAAGTGCAACTCGTCGATTCCATTCCATATTTTGTAAGCCGTAATTTCTGAAAACAGAAATGAACTATTAATAATATAGTGTTAATTCAGAATTTATTACTTTCATAAACTTTCAATTTCTACAAAGCAATTTCGCGTTACTGTGAAATAAGTACATGACAAATTATTCACTGCTTCTGG